ATTGTTCTAATGTGTTCTCATAATTGTTCTATCTTCTTATTATATTGATCCATTTACCAATATGGGATGTCTTTCTCTGTCTTTTGTAGCAATTCTTGACATAGAATCTCTTTTGCCTGATACTAGTGTAGCCTTCCCAACTGTCTCCTGTTACTATTTTCGTGGACTATCTTCTTCCATTCTTTTAATCTCAACCTATTTGTGTCTTTGGCCCTAAAGTAAGTTTCCTGTGGACAGCATATAGGTAGATCATAGGGTTGGTTATTTTTCTTTTAAATCCATCCTCCAATCTCTGCCTTTTATTTCGAGAGTTTCACCTAATGTTTACATGTGAGGTAATTATGGCTAAAGATAGACCTAATTCAAACATTTTGCTATTTTTTCTATATGTTTTATATCTGTTTTGTTCCTCAGTTCTTCCATACTGCCTTCATTTGTGTTTATTTTGTGTTGTGTACCAACCATTTTATTTCCATTCCCATTTCCTTTTCTGTATATTTTTTTATTTATTTTCTTTGTGGTTACCTTTGGAATTGCAATTAACATCTTAAGTTTGTAACAATCTAGTTTGAATTAATACTAATTTAGCTTAAATAGCTTACAAAACTATGCTCCAATACGTCTTCATCCCTCCTCTTTTATGTTATTGTCACAAAACTTCTTTATACATTGTGTACCCATTAACATAGCTTTATAATTATTGCTATAAACTTTTGTCTGTTATATAGAGAAACATAAATTACATACCAAAAATGCAGTGCTATTGAAATTTTACTTTGTTTTGTTTTAGAGATGGTGTCTGTCTCTGTCACCCAGGTTGAAGTGTGGTGGCACAGTCATCGCTCACTGCACCTTCGAATCCCTGGGCTCAAAAATCCTCCTCCTTTGGCCGCCTAAAGTGCTGAGATTACAGGCATGTTCCACAGAAGCACACTATTGCCTTTTATATTTACCTATGTGCTTACCTTTCCTGGTATTTTTTATTTCTTCTTTTGGCTTCAAGTTACTGCAAGCTGACCATCCCAAATCTGAAAATCAAATTCCAAAAGGCTCCTAAACTGAAACTTTCTGAGCGCCAAGACGATAGTCAAAGGAAATGCTCATTAGAACATTTCAGATTTCAGATCTTTTGGATTTGAGATGCTCAACTGACAAGTGTAAGGCCAATATCCAAAATCCAAAAAAAGCTTCAAAATCCAAAACACTTTTGATCCCAAGCATTTTGTATAAGAGATAATCAATCTGTATCTTATGTCCTTTCATTTCAGGGTAAAAGACTCCTGTTAGTGTTACTGTAGGCCAGATCTACTGGCAACAAATTCTCTCAGCTTATGTTTATCCACGAATGTCTTAATTTCTCCACTTTTGGAGAATAGTACTGATGGGTACAGAACTCTTAGTCACCAGTTTGTTTTTTCCTTCAACACCTTAAACATATAATCCCCCTGGCTTTTGGCATCCATGCTTTCTGCTGAGAAACTGGCTGTTAACCTGTGGAGGATCCCTTCTAAACAGTGATCACTTATCTCTTGTCGTTTTCAGGATTCTCTCTGTCTTTGGCTTTTGAAAGATTGATAATAATGTGTCTCATTGTGGATATTTTTGAGTTGATGTATCTTTTTTAATATATTACCTTGGAGTTGATGTATCTTTTTTAATATATTACCTTTCATCTTTTATCAAATTTAGGACTTTTGGGTCATTATTTTTTCAGGCATTCTTCTTCCTCCTTTAACCCTCTCATTTCTTTCTTTCTTTCTTTTTTTCTTTTTTTTTTGAGACAGAGCCTCAAGCCGTCACCCTGGG